ACAGTAGAAGCCATCATCCCACATCTAAATTGGAAGAAATTGAAAGCAAAATTCCAAAAACAAAGGGCAGTAAGTATTAAAAATGGGTCCTCTGAAATGGTGAACCTGGATAATTGAAGGGCGTCGAAGAAGCAGAGCTCCTGAAGATCCAGTGTCCTATCAGGGACGACCTGATCATACCATTCCTCCCACTCTGGTCTCACTGTGGGCCAGCAGCGATGGGGTTGGTTCATCCTCTAGTTTCCCTAATCAAGACCACCTTCATAAATGAGACAACAATCTTCCAGACGTGGATACAGAGTTGGAAGCTCAATGGGAATCTCCTTAAAAATCGGTCCAAGCACATATTCTTGTTGCTTATGGCGACGAGGAATGAAAATGCGTTCGTCGATGGCACTTTTCTCACCAGCCTTATATTTCTCGCACCCTTCATCAATGATCCTTTTTAAGGCTACGGATGGACTCACATGCTCCACAACCGGTATTTTCAAGGAAGAAAAAGCCATTGACAGGAGTTTTTTTAGAAGACGAAGTTGAGAAAGAGAGTAAAGAGAAAGAGAAAGCCAATGAAAATGAAGGGTTTGTGTGTTAAGTGACCAAGTGAATTAGAAGCACAAAATAAAAGGGTTTTAAAACTTTTTTGTCTGAAAAACACCCAGTCGTTTTAAGTGGGCAGAATTCATAATAAAAAAAAAGTACTAAAGGTATAAGTGCGAAAAGTTCCTCTCAACGTTGATAATTATGGAGGGAAAAAAATTTCAAATACTAATATTGGCTTCGAAATAAAATGTTTGGCTTCGAAGCCAAGCTTTGGCACCAAAATCAAGTAACAAACAGCTTCGAAAGCAAGAAGCTGACTTCGAAGCACATTTCACACCTAAGAGTGCAGGAATGCCCAAGCCAGGTATTTGTTTACTTCAAAATGATTAAAGACCTGCTTTTAGGTTTTTTTGATAAGAGTAAAATCCTTCAAAGTAAAGTTTGAAATACCTTATGGTTAGAATTTGTTTGTTCTAGGTTTCAAACCAATAGTTGGTTTAGTATACAAAAGGAATCACTTTTTTAGAATAAAACAGTACAATCTTTAAAGGAGGTTTCCATATTTTGGAAAGTGTAGACTGTTTGTTCGAAGCAAAAATAGTTAATTTGAAACTGCTTGATTGTATTAACCATATGTTGGGGAATTAGATATGATCAAATCAAGTTTCGATGGGCAAAATTGTTGAATTCGAAGCTCTGATTCTGAAAAGAGACCTAAGGCAAAGGTTGTCAATTACACTCCATTTGTTGGAAAAGTTCAAATTGGGTTTCAGTATTTCATTGGATATGATCGAATCAAGCTTCTTGGACAAAATTGGTGTATTCGAAGCCCTAATTTTGTTTGTTTTTTGACAAATAGAATAAAATCAGACCATGCCAAATAAAGAGAAGACATCTTAACTTTATTAGGACAAAAGTAATTACATCAGAAGCCTTTCTTGGCTACATATTCTAGTTCATAAAAATAGGAAATAGAGTAAATGACAAGGTCATGGAGTTTGTTCCAACTGTGGTCAATGAACTTCTGTTCCTTTTTAATTCTATCTTCTATCTTCTCCAGGCTAGGCTGCTGAAGTTGATATGTTCTTATTTGATAAAAAAGTTTTTCGGTATTTATTTCAACTCTGTTTCTTTCAACCCTTGTTCTATCTCATCCATGTCCAAGTCATCCTAATATGCAAAGTCTTTATTTTTGAAATCATTATATTCTTCAATAAGGTTCTTTGCTTCATACCAGGTATGAAGTCGACGGACTGAGATTTGGTCCAAAGATTGAGTGATGGCCACAGAAATTTGATGCCAATGAAAAAATAATGGGAGTTGGTCTAAAAACATCTAGAGCTCTGCTTGGGCGATGGGGTTGAGGACATGACCCTGGGTCATAACACCACAAGCCCGTCGAATGTTCTTAAGAGGAACATTACTGTCGAGAACATTGAAGGGCAAGTGAGAAAAGGCCGCAAGTAGAAGTTGGGCTTCATATCATTCAAATATAGTAGGGAGAGATGGAGGGCTCTGGAGGGGATGGATACATATGGGATGGATACATATGCTACAAGTAAATTGTCTTCCAAACGGCGTTGGCAGTCGATGGATACATATGGGTAAACCACCGAGCTCCGAGCAAAGGGAGGGAAAGTTAGAGGATCAACAAATTCGACAAAGTGATGATTGATTCGCTCTCTTAACTTGGACTCCTCAGGTTCTGGCTAGCTTCTCCAACCAAAAGCCTCAGAAGAAGAAGAAGCTACAACCTCATCCCACGCAGAAGGCTGTGGGTCAGAAGAAAAGCTTCCAATATCCATGTTTGCAAAATTTTGGTTTAAGAATTGTGGACAATAGGTTCGTAATCCAAAGGTCGATAGTTTGCAAAAGCTTCCATAACTTGAATATAGGAAGGTAGATAAAGGTGGCTAATCAATGCATGAAGGTTCTTTCGAGGACGAACAACATTATTAAACAACTCTTTATATGTTTGATCAAGGTAAGAAAAGGTTTGCTTGGCCATGAAAGTTGTACCAGTCTTTTCGAATACTGAGATAGTGGGAATGTTCAAAGGATAGAAAAGAATTTAATGCAAATGTTTCATTGATAAATGACGATTACATTTCTAGAAAAATGCAAAGCCCATGCACGTTCTAAGACGTGGATAAAATGCCTTGATCCACTAATATCACCAAGTATTGGGTACATTAATGAGAGGGATAATGTTGGCTACATATTTTGTACAGGCCAATCACAGTTCAACATGTGGTAGGATGAGGGTAATATGGGAAGACAATTCAAATCTTCAATTGTAATCACACATGTGACAGTTAGTATTGGTTATAGTGGATCTACATAGTACTAGATCAGCAAAGAGATGCAAGATGACGTGGCTTTAACGATTGCTCATATATTTAAATTCAAAATCAGGAGGGAAACCTAACTGCAGACATGGCGTAATGGAGCTAATTGTGAGGAAACATGATCAGCGATCATGGAGGGATGATTCGACGGTTAGAAGTTCATTTCGACGGTTATCATTGAGAAGTATAAATAGCAAAGAAGGTCCCAGAAAGCAGCCCCCGGACTCAGATCCAGAAACCAGTTTTATCTATTTTATTTTCCTTCCAATTTTTACATTTCTTGTTATTTATATTTCTGCACTTCAAATTCCTGCATTACACTGCATTGCACTGCACTTCATTCATAGGAATAGTTTCAAGTAGCTTGTTGTTGTAAACCTTTACGAGACTGAATTAGATCATTGTAAGTCTTTCATTTTTACTTAATGAAATGTTATAATTATTCTTCATTTGATTGTTGTTTGCTAAATTCTCCTAAATAAAACCACCAGTAAAAGTCCTTTTCGTTGAGATTGAAAGACCTGAAACACAATCGTCTGATAATTGGTTGGCAATTAATCTTCTGTAAGAACTGATTGATCTTTGCTGGCACACTTAAAATTACAATACTAACTTTCGAAAGCCAAAAAAGTCAACAGTTTCCAAATATAATACTTACGGGTTCATAATAATATTTGTGGGATTAAATTATCCATAAGTCATAGATATAGAAATTAATAAGTAAATGCCCCCAAAAAATAAAATTCCGAGGAATATTAATAATTTGGATAAAATATACTGTTTAAGTCTCTATAATTTGCCAAGTATATTAGAATTTACTATACAAGTGTGCAATTCCTTCAAAATGAACCTTTATTTTATTTTATTTTATTTTATAATGTCAAAAAATTGCTAGAATGTCACCTACTTTTCAACTACTTTTTCGAAAATTAAAACTCATATTTTTTGGATTTTTAATATGATTTCTCATCTTACTCAAATGTTTTGAAAATCTCATAAAAATTTAAAATATTAATTAATTTTAAACAAGATAAAAGAAAATAATACCTATGTTCATAAAAGGTTTGAATTCTAAGCGAGAAATCACAAGTTTAACTGTTTATTTCATCTTACAGCTTTCTATCTCCCATTCCATTTCTACCCTATTTGGTTACATACATATAATTGTTTAATAATAATAATAACAATAATAATAATAATAATAATTTAATAGTTTAATAGTTACAAATTTGAGATTTTATGAGCTACTACAACATTAATCTAGACAAGATAAGGTGAGTGTTAACAAAATTTGCAAATTGAAGGCTCGCTGTTTATAATCTTACAAATAAATAACTAGCACGAATGATCTAATCTGAAATATAAAAGAATATATATATAGAAATTCAATACATTTTCATAATTTTTTGCATTTATTGAATTATTTTTAAATTTGTTTACAAATATTTTTTTTAACATATTTAAATTAAATATATCTATAAAATAAATAAAAAATTGACCAGAATATTTTAAAAATACTAAAAACAACAAATTTAAAAATATTTTGTAACTCACAAAAACATTTTATGAGTTGGTCATGATTAGTTTTCTTATTTGAAGATCAGTAATGATACAAAGTCCGAATATAGGGGTTCGAATTTGGCTCGAAATTAGGGGGAAGAAGAAGGAGGAGGAGGAGGAGAAGAAGGAGCAAAAGAACTCGACTGGAGGGGCCAACAAAATCGGGTGGAGGTGGCGGTGGAGGCGGAGGCGGTAGCGAACGGAGGTAGAGGTGGCGGCGAACGGAGGCAGAGGTGGAGGCGGGGCTGCGATGCCGACGAGCGACGAGGGACGAGCTGCGAGATCGGCCGACGAGCTGCCACGATGCCGACCTGTGTTCTCGCTCTCGCCTCTGTGTTCTCTCTCTCGCCTTTGTTCAACTCAACGAAGAAGAAGAAAGAAAAGGAAGAAAAAAAAAATCTAAATCCAAAACGATGTCATTTTAAATTTTGAGCCAAATTCAAGCTCCTAATTTCGAGCCCTCAAACATTATTCTTTGAAGATAGTGATTGAAAAAATCAATAAAAAACAGGTGATACTTCGTCATATATAAATACTCTCAACGTAAATCCATTTTTGAATCTTCTGTTATCGGCTCTTGTCTCCCGGACTTCTCTCTCTTAAATCTCTCTCTCTCTCTCTAAAAAGATTCAGGAGTACATGCTCCTTGATCTTGTTCGATTCAATCTTTGCCTCCTCATCCTCTTCGTACTTGTCTTTTTAATCTAATATATATTATATATACATATATATAGTCTATTTAGCCGTTGTTGTTTCGGTTGTTGGTGAAAGTAAAAGAAAGAGAGAGGAGAGAGAGGGAGAGAAGCAAAGAAAGGTAAAAGAAACCAAACAAACACACAAAGAAAATGCCGGGCTCTTTCGCCGTTGCGTTTTCGCTCTTCTTGGCGTTTTCCGCTGTGGTTTTCCCCGCGGCGGTGGTGCTCTGTGGGTTTCCGGCGACTCTGACTCTGGAAAGAGCTTTTCCGACGAGTCACGGTGTTGAATTGAATCGACTCATAGCTCGTGACAGGTTAAGACACGATCGAATCTTGCAGTCTTCTTCAGGTGTTGCTAATTTTCCAGTCGAAGGCACCTATGATCCCTTCCTTGTTGGGTAATTCTATCAATTCACTCTCTTCTTTTGCCTCATATTCGTGTATACTTCAAGTTATGGGTCTTTTTCTTTATATGTAGTTGTGATTTGTGTTTTTTTTATCTAATATATCAGTTCATGGGTTTGGGTTTGATTTTCGAAATCTGGGTTTTCGATGTTGATTTGAGCACTTTCAATTTTATGTATGTGTTCTTTTTTTCTTTTTTCTTTTTTGTGTGTGTGGTGTCATTTCCAATTTTAGGTTTTGTGTTTATTGTTTTGTACCCTTTTCGTGTTCTTTGTTCTTTGTTCTTTGTTGTTCTAATTTGGTGTCGGCTATATGGGTATTTTTTATTTCTACTTCTAACTGTGTCTGTTTTACATTTTGGCAATGTTGGTGGACTATTGGTCCTGTTTGTTTTCCAATTTCTGTTGATTTTTCGCATTGGGTTTTGTTCTATTGTACAATCTCTTTTTGTTTGGATTAATGGGTATATCTGGAAACTTTGCTTTGATTATGTTTGTTTCTTATTGGGACTCATGTTTTTGTATTTTAGGCTTTATTTTACCAGAGTTCAATTGGGCTCTCCTCCAAAAGAATTCTATGTGCAAATTGATACTGGAAGTGATGTCTTGTGGGTCAGTTGCAATGCCTGCAACGGTTGTCCCACATCAAGTGGGCTCAAAGTAATTTCAACTTTTTTGTAATGTTCATTGATTGTCATGATTTTGGAACGATAGGACCAATTTACTGCTAAATTTCTCAATTTCATTGTTTTGTTTTCTTGCAGATCCCTCTCAACTTCTTCGATGCTTCAAGCTCATCGACAGCTTCACTGATCTCTTGTTCAGACCAAAGATGTTCTCTAGGAGTTCAATCCTCAGATTCTGTTTGTTCGACTCAGAACAATCAGTGCAGTTACGCATTCCAATATGGAGACGGAAGTGGGACATCTGGGTATTATGTATCAGATATGATGCATCTCAACACAGTCGTTGGGAATTCATTGACCTCTAACACTTCAGCTTCTGTTGTCTTTGGGTGAGCTAGCACAAACTTGACAAATTGAAGATGGTATTTGTGTTCTTTTCCATTCATTTGTTAACCTTGTTGTTTTGGTGGAGTATAAAACAGTTGTAGCACATCACAGACTGGGGACTTGACAAAGTCAGATAGAGCCGTTGATGGGATCTTTGGATTTGGTCAGCAGGGCTTGTCGATAATCTCTCAACTTTCTTCACAGGGTATAACCCCTAATGCCTTCTCACATTGCTTGAATGGGAATGGCGGTGGTGGTATCCTGGTTATTGGTGCGATCGTGGAGCCAAATATAGTTTATAGTCCACTTGTACCATCACAGTACGTTTTTCTATCCACTTGTAGCTCATTAGAGTTCTTGAAATTATCAAAATTTAGGGAATTTCATGAGCACCATGCTACCAGATTTTGACTAGATAATCATCTCGCAGTTAATAGGTTTCTTACATTAAAAATACCTCTTTCATATAGGTTCACCTCGCACATATACTGTTATACACTCCACAAACTTTTTATATATGTCGTGTTTGATTTTTGTAGTTCTTTAATTATATTCTTATACAAGGATTTTTGTTTGGTAGAATATGAATTTCTTATATGATTATGGCTTCATTCAGTAGTTTTGAAATTTTAGGTCATTGACCAAGTCTGGTGTTGAATAAATTTTTTAGGACTCTGTATAGAGACAGATATCTGGAAGGCTTGGAAATTAAAAATTAATGGAAGAGAATGATGGGCTGTTTAAGAACTGAAATTGCTTCTGAGCCGATCCAACTTGGCTCGAAGAGGCTTTGTTAGGCATATTGACCAATTAAATGATCTAAGATTGAGTGCTGGACTTTGGGTTCTATTTCTTATTGAGAAGAGCTTAAACCTCCCAAAGCTTGGCTTAATAGGCTCAACTTGTTAATTGGTTTGTACTTACATTGATCAGCATTAACTAAAAAAGTTGGATTTAAATTTCAAATAGACTTGAATTTTCAAATTTGTTTGCTTAGAAAGGCAATCTTGGTCAATACTGGGCTTTGTTTACAACAGACTGCAACCTAAAAAAGTTTGATAGGGTATATTTTGCTTTAATGTGCTGCTTTACTTTTGTAAGTTGTGAAAAAAGTTGCTTAATCTGGCCCCAACCATTTGTTGTTGCAATTTTTTGGGGCCTAAAAGACCCAAAGTTCAATATAGTTACTTGCTTTTCCATGGACTCAAATTCAGATTTCTATTGAATTTCCAAGGAAATAGGAAACCACAAGTTTCTAAAACATATAATCTTTAATGTTTGTGAATTTTGGCATGACTTCTCTAATGATATGTACGATATTAGGGTTTTACATATCCATGTTTGATTATTTATAGAAGCTTGAAAATTGGGGCAAGTGTATATATTGACTTTGCAGTTAAATTGATTCAATTCTACGTCCAAACTTTCAGGCCACACTATAATTTGAATTTGCAAAGCATTGCTGTCAATGGGCAGCCATTAAACGTGGATCCTTCAGTGTTTACAACATCAAGTAACCAAGGAACCATAGTTGATTCCGGAACAACTTTAGCATACCTTGCCGAAGCAGTGTATGATCCTTTTGTCAATGCTGTAAGTCACTGTGGATCAATTAATTAGATTTTTTTTTTAATTAATAACAAGAACTTGTTAGATGATTGTCAAGCAATGACCAAGTGCAGTGTTTTTTATTATATGAACTCAATTTGAAATTTATATAATTTTCTCATCTGTTCAGATTACAGCGGCTGTTTCGCAGTCCGTGAGTCCTGTTCTTTCCAAGGGAAATCAGTGCTATCTAATCGCATCCAGGTCTTTTTAAAAAGTTTAACATCCGAATTTTCATCTTAGCCACGAGCATAGGGCTCGCTTTTTTATCTCTTGTGTTGACATTGGAAGTAAATTTTTTTCTTTCAGTGTGTCTGATATATTTCCAACAGTAAGTTTAAACTTTGCTGGCGGAGCATCCATGATTCTAAAACCTGAGGACTACCTTCTACAGCAAAGTTCCGCTGTGAGTTTTCAGTATTAGTTTTCTGTTTCTGTTTTTAAATTTTTCCAGTAGTGCAGTTTGGATCATGAGTCAGTCTCTTTTCCACATAATTTGGAGGAATCCTCTTGAAAGATGCATAAACCTTGTAACATTGATTTGAAAATCTTTTTCTTGTGTTTGTTCTATCTTGAATCTGATGCTTGGGAACCTGAGCTGCATTTATATGTAGAAGTGTCTCACCAATGAGCTGAAGGCATGAATGTTTAATTACAGAATGCAATAATATTGGTCCTTTTGTGGCACCTAAAGAGTTTTTTTTTATTTTTTTCTCCTATATTTTCATTTTTTTATTTTTACATTAGATTTGATCTCTGAAGCGCTAGCTAGCACAACCAAGATTGTAGCTACGATCTTATCCCTGTTGATTCTTGTTCTACTTCCTAATGTTTCGGAATTGATGAAGAAAGTTTATTATTTAAAAAATCACTCACTGGAATGGCCAAATTTGTTTCTACAGGGTGGTGCTGCTGCAGCATGGTGCATCGGATTCCAGAAAATGCAAGGTCAACAGATCACAATTTTAGGAGGTATGAACGCCTAAAGAGCTTTCTTTTCTTAGAGAATAAAAGAAAAGGAAAAAAAAAAAAGTACAGAAAAGGAAGAAAGGAAAAAAAGAAAAGGAAAAAAGAACAGAAATTCCATGCGTAATAGCCTTCCTGTAACATTTTTTTTCCATCTCATAATAATTAATTATAAATATTTATCTACCCTGGTCCAGTTTTTACTTTTCCTTTTCAACATTTTTGCCCGTTCTATACTGCCAGTGTTCCCGTATATCTATCTTTAGCATGTGATTTTTGTTTTTTTTTTTTTTTTTTTGGTGTAAAATGGTGATCGGGGTGAGCCCCGACATGAATAAAATAAGTTGGTGTGCAGTTCATCTTCTTCCTCGGTGTTGTTTTTTTTTTTTTTTTTTTTTTTTTTTTTTTTTTTTTTTTTTTTTTTTTTTTTTTTTTTTTTTTTTTTTTTTAAAAAAAAAAAAAAAAAAAAAAAAAAAAAAAAAAAAAGTACACTAAAGAGTTTTTTAATGTTTTTTGTGTGAATGTAAATCTACAACACTTTGTTGAAGCTTGAAGTATCAATAAATCCCAAAATGTGATATTGTGAACGGTTTAGTCCTCCATTTTTTTTCTTATATACCCAAAAGTCCCATTAAAATGGAAATTATATAAAAGGATAGTCACTTTTATGTTTGATTTAATTTTTTAGGGATAAAAGTGGATTTTTCAAAATGTAAAATTACACATTTTGATAATTTGCACTATAAAAGTTTTAGATCTTCCCTCATTCTAGAATAAATCCCACATTATGAACAAAAACCTAATACTCTAATATAACACTCCAATAACACAACACTTCAATGTAACACACTAAAAAACTCATTGGTGTACTTTTCCCAAACGTAACAACATAACACCAAAAAAAAACTTTTTTTATGTATTTTTCCCAAATGAAACGCTCCAATGTAATACAAAAAAAAATTCTTAATGTATTTTTCTCAAACGTAACATTTCAATCAATGTAATTCCAAATGTAACACTCCAATGTAACATTCCCAGTGTAACACAAAAATACTAAAAAAAATTTCCTTAATATATTTTTCCAAACGAAATACTCACAGTTTGAAATTATACATTTGCCCAAAACTTACTAAGGAATATTTGTATTCCTTTTGAAATGATTTGAAGAATCTCGCATTTTTTTTAATGTTACATTGGAGTGTTACGTTTAGAAAAAATACACTAAGAATTTTTATTTTATTTTTTTTTGGTTACACTGGAATGTCACGTTTGGAAAAAGTATACTAAAGAGATTTTTTGTATGTTATATTAAAGTGTTAGGCTAAGGAATTTTTTTTAAATGTTATATTGAAGTGTTACATTTAAAAAAAATACGTTAAAGAGTTTTTTTGTGTGTTACACTAAAATGTTACACTGATGAGTTTTTGTGTGTTACATTAGAGTGTTATACTAAAGAATTTTTTTAGAGTATTATATTAGAATGTTACATTTGAAAAAAGCACACTAAGAAATTTTTTTATGTGTTACATTAAAGTGTTACACTAAGGAGTTTCTATATGTGTTACAATAGAGTGTTACATTAAAGAATTTTTTTAAAATGTCATATTAAAGTGTCATATTTAGAAAAAATACACCAATGAAATTTTTTTTTTTTGTGTTACATTAAAATGTTACAATAAGAAATTTTTTTACGCGTTACATTAGAACATTATACTAAATTTTTTAAAAAAAATATCATATTGAAATGTTATTATGTTTGAGAAACAAACACCCCAACAAAAACAGCCAACACGAAATGAAACCTCAAACAAACGCAATAAATCAAAAACAGGGAACATGTAAAACTCGCCTTAAAGAATTAATCCAGCACTTCAACACAACCTTTACCCAGAAGCAACAACAACAAACAAGGAACAGTACCAATCCCTTCAACAAAAACAGAGCTCCCACATCAACCCCAACCACACCAACGAAGTAACACCAAAAATCCCACAAATCACTCCCTCAAAATCCCCTCAAAGAATAGACACTTAGGGTTGTTTGAGGTGTCCTAAATAAGTGCACTTTTTATCTTTTTGGACTAAAAAATTGAGGAAAAAAATATGGATGTTTGGGTTAACTTTTTGACTTTTTATGAAAAAATGTGTAATAAAAAATTATAAAAATTGATTTGTAAGGAAAAATTAGAATTGAGAGTTGTGCAGCCGTAATTGTTGACTTTTGGTGAATAGTGTTAACTTTTTAATTTTTTAAGTAACTTTTTGACTTTTTAAATTTTTTCATACTACCCAAATTTGGCCTTAATAACATACCTTAACCCGCACACTCCACATCGAAAAATAAATCAAATGCAAGGGCACATATGCAACTCCAAAACCCCCCAATCAAATAAATACAGTATACTAAAAATAAATAAAACCAAATGGTGTAAAGAAAACTTCTAAGACGAAGCAGGACAGCATTTCTTCAAATAGAATTTATAAGTAATTTTCTCCATTTTTTATTGTTGGATCACTAGATTACATGAATGGCTGTAATTGGTTCTTCATTTGTAAAAAATTATCACGAAATTTTTTTTTTTTTAAAAAAAAAGAAGGATTACTCGTTATGTGAACAACATTGCTTACGCCTAAGACCATTTCTTGTCCGATCTCCTTACCAGATGAATTCTATCAAAAAAATTTATTGAATTTTAAAATTTTCCATACATTAACCAAGGTTTTTCATTCAAATGGTCAAAACTCAAAACCCTTCAAATTCCAGTTGCCTCTTATGACGTAGCTCCATCTACAAAAACTATATTATAAATACCAACAAAGAAGCCCATAAGAAAAGCACATCAATTTTCCCAGAAAATGGAATCTCTATGATCCATAGCTACAGTGATCAAAGTATTAACATAGATGTTTTAGTGCTCAGTTTCTATTCCAACCATCATTAACGTACACAAGAAGCTTAAATATATGGCCAATCGTCCAAAACCAAGAGTGCATCAAAATAAACAAAAAAAGACCAAGTACGACTCAACAGTAGAACATCACATCTTTTACATTATCTTTGATCAAGGGAAGTGGCCGAACCTCCACATTCCTCTCCCCACTGGCCCGACCACCGCTAGTTGATTTGCTTTCCGATGTTTCACCCTCGATATAGTAGCGTGCACGAAACGCTGCTAAATGAGCATAATAGGCAGGAGGGACTGCATATATAAATCAACATTCTATTAATAAATTAAATCAACTTCCTAATAATAATTGCAAGTACATCAGGCAAAAAATACACTTTACCAAAAAAAAATTAATAACTACGATGATGGTGATGAAAACATTATAATGAAAAGGACAAACCTATGGAGACTGAACGAGTACACCTTGCATACCTGGACGGAGGGCAAAAATATTTGTTAAAATGGAATAGCAAAATAATGTACTACAAAAAAGTAATACAACACGAGAGAGACAAAATAAAAGTCCAGAGAGAAAAAAAAATACGTGTAACACAAGTCATTCGTCAGCATTTGTAAAGCATCTGCTCATTCGTCAGCATTTGTAAAGCATCTGCGGTAAATCTGTTCTCATCATATAGCACATGGTAGTGTGTAGGTCGGCTCGTTCCCTGCTCAGATAAAGCAAACAACAATGACAGTTATGTTGGAAAATTGGTTTATATAGGTTTATTTTGAGCTAAATTTGAACTCAAAATTGAGTGACTCCGAATATTTTTTGGGATGGGTCCGAAGAGGTGAAGTGTTTCTTGTTGCGTGGCAAGTCACACGGTGAAGACGGTTCGTCAAAACCATTTATGAGTGAATGGGAACATGACGTCGTTTTCGGATTCGTGGAATAGAAAATTTAAAGAAATAAATGTGGATTTCTTTGGAAAGAGATTGTCCCACATTGAAACTTTAAGAGAGTTTATTTGTGTATATAAGCTCTAACCCACAACACTTGGGTTGGGCCCCAAGGGGCACCCCAAGTTTGCAGAAGGAAGGAGTTATGGATAAAGTGAACCTTAGCCCAAACCACCACGTGCACGCCACTGTCACCGTGCCGGGCGTGGGTGTGGGTTGTGGTTCGGTTTTAACTTTAATTTTTTGGACAAAATTCTTTTAAATTTATTTCAAAATTATTGCGGGAATTTATTTCAAATTTGAATTTGAAATTAAAAAATTTTGTTCATAATATTGTGCCTCTTTCAGATAAATTCCACAACTATTAAAACAGTCCAAACAAGTCTTATCTGTTGAACCCAAACAGGTTTAATTTCAGACAGATTCAAAATTGAATAACTGCCCAGACAGGTTCAACAACTGCAGCAGTTATCTGTTCAGTTCCTATTTGCACCTGTTCATTTGAATTCACATCTGTTCATTCAAATTTTGGTACCTGTTTGGACAGCAGCTTTTTGTGCCTATAAATACATGACATTTCCAGCAATCTTGGGAGCAATCTTGGGACCTGAAATTTAGTTTGCATTCTTTATATTGCTGTCCAATTTTTATTTAGTGCATTTTCCTTCATTCTAGTTTTAGGAAAATAACAAAGAGAGTATAGAACACAGGTTCTAGTTCGTCGAACAAATTTGTTTGAAGTACTTCTACAAATTTGTGATGATCATTGTATCTTGGGAGATAAACGCTATTCAACCGTAAGCACCGTAACGGGGCGAATCTATCTTAAGGACAGAGTGTCACACACTCGACTTGGTCTTTAATTATTTATTCGGTTCAACAAAATAAATTCTGTAAGTTTTATTTTATTTTATTTGGATTATTTCAGTTTATTTTATTTTCACAGAAGATTGTTCCAACAATCTTAAGACAAATTCGAATTATTCTGTTTACAGAATTTTTCGTTTGATTTTCCTTTCTCATTTTTCTTTTAAGAAAATTATCTTTTGTGGATTTACAAAATAATATTCTGGTTGGAAAATAAATTGTGATTATATGCTATTTGACAGATAGTAGTAATATACTGTCTATTTTCTTTGACAATTAGTAGTAATATATTGGTGTCATTAACAATTCAGAATATATTTTTGTGAAATTTTGTCAGAAATTAATTTTGATTTTCTTAATTTATTTCTGAGTGTTCATTAATTAAAAAATACTGTTTTAATTTTTTTTTAATTATTGAAGTGTTTACAGAAATTTAATTTTTTGTGTGGAATTAATTTGGTTAAATAAAATTTTATTTTATTTCCAAATTAATTGAAAAATAAAAGTTACATTCTTGTTTCTTTTATTTTTACATAATTTAATTTTGTGAATTTGGATTAATTTTCTGTGTAGTGTAAATTCTAATTATAATTTTGTTTTATAATTTAGAATCGATGGCTACTAAAACTAATGCCCAAACAAGTACTACTGTGGTGGCTGCAATTGCACCAACCCCCTCTCCTGTGGTGACAGTACCAACAAATCATGGAGAGAAGCCAGAGAAGTTCTCAGGAACTGGCATTAAAAGATGGCAACAGAAAATGCTGTTCTATCTTACAACTCTGAACCTAGCTCATTCCCTCCGTGAAGATGCTCCTATCCTAAAAGAGGATGAAATCGACCGGCAAGTGGTTATTGCGGTTGATGCCTGGAAACATGCCGATTTCCTTTGCCGGAACTACATCTTGAACGGACTTGACAACACATTATACAACGTCTGCAGTCCTATCAAGACAGCAAATGAACTTTAGGAGTCTTTGGAGAAAAAATAAAAAACGGAAGATGTCGGCTCAAAAAAATTTGTGGTAGGCAAATTCCTGGATTTTGTAATGGTTGATTCAAAAACTGTGGTAAGTCAAGTTCAAGATTTCCAACTCATTCTGCATGACATTCACGCAGAAGGCATATCTTTTAGTGAATCCTTCCAAGTTGCAGCCTTAATTGAAAAATTACCAAAAGGCTGGAAAGAATTCAAAAACTACCTCAAACACAAACGCAAAGAAATTTCTATGGATGAATTAATTGTGCGTTTGAGGATTGAGGAGGACAACCGCAATTCTAAAAAGAAGGCTGGTAAGCATCCTATGGAGTCTAAGGCAAATATGGTAGAACATGCTTCAAAACCCAAGAAACGAAAGTCTTCAGGAGAAAGTTCATCACAAGGCTCTAAAAGAGGGGAAAATAAAAAGTACAAGGTTAATGGCAAATGTTACATCTGTGACAAAGAGGGACATCGGGCCAAAGATTGTCGTAGCAAAGACAAAGGCAAAAGCAAAAGAAGAAAAAGCAAGAAGCCTGCTCAAGCCCATATGATCGAAGTGGACAAGATTTCCAATGGTGTAGATGACATCAATCTTTCTGCAGTTGTTTCCGAGGCAAATCTTGTCGGAAATCCTAAAGAATGGTGGGTGGACACTGGTGCTACTCGCCATATCTGTGCCAACAAAAAGATGTTTACATCTTATTCTACAGTGGACAATGGTGAACAACTTTTTATGGGCAACTCCTCAACTTCCAACGTTGAAGGATAAGGGAAGATTGTTCTTAAGATGACATCTGGAAAGGAATTCATTCTCAATAATGTACTGCATGTATCGGACATTTGTAAGAATCTTGTTTCCGGATCTTTCTTGAGTAAGAATGGGTTTAGGCTAGTATTTGAGAGTGATAAATTTGTACTTACGAAGAATGGGATATATGTAGAAAAATGTTACATGTTTGATGGCCTTTTCAAGTTAAATGTAATGACCGTTGTACCCTCAGTTATTAATAACAATATATCTTCTTCTTACTTGCTTGAGTCTTCAAATTTATGGCATGGTAGACTAGAACATGTTAATTATGGATCTTTGCGTAAATGAATTAATATGGAATGTTTACCTAAATTTGACATTGATTCAAATCATAAATGTGAAATTTGCATTGAGGCAAAATTATCTAAAACTCCTTTTCATTCAATTGAAAGAAGTACGGAACCACTTGAATTAATTCATAGTGACATTTGTGATTTTAAATCAATTCAAACTAGAGGTGGGAAAAAGTATTTTATCACTTTTATAGATGACTATACTAGATATAGTTATATTTATTTAATTCGAACTAAGGATGAAGCTTTAGAAACTTTCATTCAATATAAGAATGAAATTGAAAATCAACTTGGTAAGAAAATTAAAAAACTAAGAAGTGATAGAGGTTGTGAATATGAATCACCTTTTGGTGAATTTTGTAAAGAATATAGAATAATTCATCAAACCACCGCTCCTTACTCACCTCAGCAAAATGGAATTGCTGAAAAGAAAAATAAAACTTTAAAAGAAATGATGAATGCCATGTTAATCAGTTCTGAATTACCTCAGAACTTGTGGGGGGAAGCAGTACTTTCTGCAAATTATATTTTAAATAAAGTATCCCGAAAGAAAATAAATCAAACACCTTATGAATTGTGACATGAAAGAGTGCCATCTTACAAATATTTAAAAGTGTGGGGGTGTTTGGCTAAAGTGGCTATACCTAATCCTAAAAAGACTAAGATAGGTCCTAAGACCATTGATTGCATTTTCATTGGTTATGCCAAGAATAGTAGTGCATATCGGTTTTTTATTCATAAATCAGAACATTCCGAAATGCATGTAAATACTATTATTGAATCTCGAAATGCATCTTTCTTTGACCATGTATTTCCAAATAAGACTGGACAAGAAACTAGTAACAATAAAAGATCTCATGATACTATTACTAGTCAGGATCAAGAACATGATCAAAAACAAGAGTTAGATCAAAATGACGAAGAGGAACCTAGGCGTAGTAAACGTACTAGAACCTCAAAATCTTTTGGTCCAGATTTTCTAACATGTTTGTTAGAAAATGAGCTTTTAACTTTTAAATAAGCTATGTCCAGTCCTGAGGCTCCTTTATGGAAAGAAGCTGTCAACAGTGAAGTTGAATCCATCTTACAAAATCACACTTAGGAATTAGTGGATTTGCCACCAAGTTGTAAACCCCTTGGATATAAGTGGATTTTCAAAAGGAAAATGAAAGCAGATGGATCAATTGACAAATACAAGGCAAGACTTGTGGTCAAAGGTTTTAGACAAAAAGAAAGTCTTGATTATTTTGACACATACTCACCGATTACTAGAATAACATCCATTAGAATGCTAATTGCTATTACATCTCTATACAATCTAGAAATTCATCAAATGGATGTGAAAACCGCTTTCTTAAATGGTGAGTTAGAGAAAGAAATTTACATAGAACGACCAGAAGGTTTTTCTGTTCCAGGAAAAGAAAAGAAAGTGTGTAAATTGGTTAAATCCTTATATGGTTTAAAACAAGGGCCAAAGAAATGGTATGAGAAATTTGACAAGGTAATGATGTCAAATGGATTTAAAATTAATGAGTGTGACAAATGTGTTTATATTAAAAACACAGACAAAGGTTATGTCATTGTATGTCTTTATATGGATGATATGCTCATCATAGGTAGTAATAATGACATGATTAAAACTACCAAGAAAATGTTAAATAAACATTTTGACATGAAGGACATGGGCATCGCTGATGTAATTCTTGGTATGAAAATTACCAAAACATCAGAAGGATATGCTTTGTCACAATCTTATTACATTGAGAAAATACTGGACAAATTCAGTAAAGATGATGATCATCTTGCTAGAACACCTGTAGATGTTAATTTGTTTCTATCTAAGAATGTACAAGAAGGTATTTCCCAATTAGAGGATGTCCAAATTATTGAAAACTTAATGTACTTGATGAACTGCACTAGCCCGGACATAGCTTATGCAGTAAGTAAATTAAGTAGATATACGAGTAATCCAGGAGTAGAACACTGGAAAACAATTATAAGGGTTCTGAGATATCTCCGATTTACTTGTAACATTGGGCTTAATTATACTAGATATCCAGCAATACTTGAAGGATACTGTGATACAAATTGGATATCGGATACTAGAGACTCGAAGTCCACCAGTGGGTATGCATTTACTCTTGGTGAGGCAGCTGTATCTTGAAAATCTTCCAAGCAGGCTTGCATTGCTAGGTCTACTATGGAATCAGAATTCATAACTTTAGACAAAACAGGGGAAGAGGCAGAATGGCTTCGCCACTTCCTTGAAGATATTCCAATATGGCCAAAATCGGTTTTTGCTATATGCATACATTGTAATAGTCAATCAGCAATTGGTAGAGCACAAAGTCATATGTATAACGGTAAGTCATGACACATTCGTCGTCGATATAATACCGTAAGACAATTACTCTCTAATGGAATTATTTCCATTGAATATGTGAAGTCTAAAGACAACATAGTGGATCTACTAACCAAAGGGTTAGCAAGAGAGTTAGTTGAGAATTCATCGAGAGGAATGAGACTTAAGCCTATTAAATAAGGGTTACCATAACGACAACCCAACCTAGTTGACTGGAGATCCCAAGATCTAGGTTCAAAGGGACAACCGAGTTATGAATGACTCAGAAGGATCACTGGGGAGTCTAACTCCTACCCATTTCTATGATGAAATAAGTGATGTCTGCAGCATTTTAGGTTAAACAAAATTTTAATGATTCTTATATCTAAGTAAATTTAGTGGAGTATGGTAGGATACTCTTCATAAAAATCACCTATGTGAATGTGAACTGGGCCTGTTCTATAAGATTTGTGAAGGGCTACAAGTCTTTAGAGCACGCATGAAAGACCAGGTTGTTCAGTGCCAAAATGAACACAATAGTGAAAACTAAACTATGTCTGGGGATATACTGTGTGAGTTCTATTGTCTTGGTTTACACAAACGGCTGAATAGTTCAAAACATCATGTTCACTGGTTAGCTAGTAAATCCGATAGTGTCTCACAAGGGAAGGTTCAAAGCCAAAAGCTGCCTATCTTTTGCAGAATATTTTCAATTTCTGTACTCTCTGTTTTAGATCATGTTGTTGCATTTTCTCTCCGTCAAATTTCATTCATGTGGGGGATTGTTGGAAAATTGGTTTATATAAGCCTGTTTTGGGCCGACTTTGAGCCCAAAATTGAGTGGGCCCCGAACGTCTTTTGGGGTGGATCCGAAGAGGTGAAGTGTTCCTTGTTGCGTGGCAAGTCACACGGTGAAGACGGTTCGTCAAAACCATTTATGAGTGAATGGAAACATGACGTCGTTTTCGGGTTCGTGGAATAGAAAATTTAAAGAAGTAAATGTGGGTTTCTTTGGAAATGGATTGTCCTACATTGAAACTTTAAGAGAGTTTATTTGTGTATATAAGTTCTAGTCTACAACACTTGGGTTCGGCCCCAAGGGGCACCCCAAGTTTGTAGAAGGGAGGAGTAATGGACAAAGTGAACCTTAACCCAAACCACCACACACGCGCGCGCCGCCGCCGCTGTCCGTCCGACCGGCTGTGCCGGGTCGGGTCAGTTTTAACTTTAATTTTTTGGACAAAATTCTTTTGAATTTATTTCAAAATTATTGCGGGAATTTATTTCAAATTTGAATTTGAAATTCAAAAATTTGTTCATAATATTGTGCCTCTTTCAGATAAATTCCACAACTATTAAAACAGTCCAAACAGGTCTTTTCTGTTGAACCCGAACAGGTTTAATTTTAGACAGATTCAAAATTGAATAACTGCCCAAACAGGTTCAACAACTGCAGCAGTTATCTGTTCAGTTCCTATTTGCACCTGTTCCTTTGAATTCACATCTATTCATTCAAATTTTGGTACCTGTTTGGACAACAGATTTTTGTGCCTATAAATACATGACATTTCCAGCAATCTTGGGACCCGAAATTCAGTCTGCATTCTTTATATTGCTGTCCAATTTTTATTTAGTGTATTTTCCTTCATTCTAGTTTTAGGAAAATAACAAAGAGAGTATGGAATACAGGTTCTAGTTCGCCGAACAAATTTGTTTGAAGTGCTTCTACAAATTTGTGAAGATCATTGTATCTTGGGAGATAGACGCTATTTAACCATAAGCACCGTAGCAGGGCAAATCTATCTTAAAGACAGAGCGTCACACACTCGACTTGGTCTTTAATTATTTATTCGGTTCAACAAAATAAATTCTGTAAGTTTTATTTTATTTTGTTTGGATTATTTCAATTTATTTTATTTTCACAGAAAATTGTTCCAACAAGTTATTCCTTCCACGACAGACTGACGTCAACTAAACAAAGGTAACGTGAGTTTACCTGAACACCCGCATGGCTGCAAAGATAGAAATCAAATTCAGTAGGGAGGCAAATCGTTGTATCAACAACTGTACCTGCTCACCAACCAAAGAGCAAAAGGTTCACAATGAGCATAGAATGCTCTTGAAACGACGAACACGCATATAGTTAAAATGAGAACAAAAATATGAACCTGGTAAAATATTGCCAATCCTGTCCGTTGAATTGCAATCATTATGTTGTGCAGGAAAGAGGCGAGTGTGGTGTATCTTCTGCACTACCACAAAGGTAACTGGCGGTAGATAATTTTCCTCCAACGAAACACATGCCTGGAAAAAGAGGTTCCGTATAAGAAAAGAAAATAAAAAACATGATTGTTCAAGAAATTGGATTGGAGTCTAATAATGTATACCTTTCTTATAGCATCCATCTCATATAGCAAAACTTGATTGAACTGACCTTCGCAGACTCTGTCTCTGCAATACAACTAACATCAATAATTTTTCATAACAAAGAGATTAGTCACTTGCATCCACTCAGATGCAAGGATTCACCTGTAGAATATGATTCTATGAGGTCTATGTCCAGTCGATCTCCTGAACGCAATTAGGAGTTCCCTGCAAAATGACAAACAAATGACGGGCAACAAAAAATCTACATTTACAATAGCAAATGTGATGAAAATATCAAAATTTTTACCTAATCATTCCGCTATGAACCATGCCTCTTTGAGGATCCTGAATAGTTTTATAGAGATCATTGATAATTTCATCCCTATGAGGTTGTGCAGAGACTAATCCCCTATACTTGGTTACCTCTAGCCAGTCCATAGATGCCACCACCTATATATCAAGTTTTCGTTCTATTATTATAGCAAAATAGATCAAATATTAAACAAACCAACAAATCGCAAAGAAGATGCTGACAACATACCGCTGCTATAGAAGGGCGAGCATTTGATCCTGGTTGAGGATGCACCACATCAGCACCAAATATTATGGTGGGCATATCAGTTACATGGGGAATTTTCCTATTAAGAGCATTCAACAACACGTTGTTCCGTCCCCCAGCCTGCAAAAAAATATTATTCAAAATATGAGGGAAAAGAAAAAGAAAAAGAAAATACCAAATTTATGCCTAAAGAACTCAGCATAAACATTTTAAGTTCATGTGGAACAAAACAAACCTTCACATTGATCTTTAGAGCAACATTTTCAAGATACTGCTTTTGGCACTTCGATGCTTGCTTGGGCTGACAACACTGGGATATGATTCCCAACTCTGTTTCACACACCCGCTTAATCCTTCCTGTGAAAAGTAAAATCACATAAGCAGGTAACGACATGTATACCAAATTCTAAAAATCTAGCATTCGTGACTTACCATAAGTCCCAGTGGCATCCGGCAAAATAATGATCAACAACTGAAGTAGTTTCCCTGCGCTCGCAAGTTGTGCATTAGACTGTTGGTGAATTTCAAGGAGAGTCTTCTCAATGTAAGCTGGATGTGCTGAACGGATGGGAAGTAAAGGCATCAGATTGAAATCCTTAGAAAAATATGCACAAGATCAAGTGTCAATTCCTTTTGATTCAAATAGATGTTACAGTTGATCACAAAGACAACAAGTGAGAAAACCATACCATCCCTTTACTCTGGCACATGTTAACCAAATTCTCACAGAATCTAAAAACCTCCTCGTCTTATCCGCGAAAAGCTGACACATGTCCAGAACTTCACCTTGCCACCATTAACCATTTTCTACACAACCAAAATTATGAAGGGACATCCAATTCTTAGCTCAAGTTCTAAACACTCGGAGTGAGAAAACTACCAGAACTCTTAGAAGATCACAAATTCATAACTACTTGCACCAGAGCAAATATAAAATCAAACCACCAAAAGTGAAACATTCCCTTATTTACTTTTGCCTTTTTTTATTAATTTGGCAACACAAGCAAAAATGCAAAATCCAGATCATGGAATTACACTGCATCCAACCCACTTGAAGTTGTGGTATGAGATGTCATACCTTAACCAAAAAGAGGGCGGGGGGAATCAAAGCAAATCAGTGTATAACTAGTAATATATTCATACCTTGTCTATCATGTTCCAAGCCCCCACCCGTGGAGTCTCTTGTGTATCCTGATATTGAAGCTACATCAACCAACATACATTTCAAATCATAACTTATAAGAAAAGGTGCAATGATTCATCCATGCATAACACAAATTAAAAGATTATAAAGTACCATTGGAGCTGGAAGTACACGAGCATCAACGGATGTAAGTTCAGTCCTTACTCGAAGCCCAAATTCATTGACAAACTTATCAGTGTTGTAGTTGTTATGCCTAGCAATCTGCAAAGGATAACCTCATCTACAGAAGGTGACATCAACAGAAACAGGAGGAAACAATTTTCCCATGTTTTTTGAAGCAACATAAACTAAAAAATATATACCATGAAGTTCAAAAAACATTTAGAATTCTGACAACAAAACTAAAGATGATGTGAACATATATATACCTGGTCAATGCTCCGTTCTCTATCATTAGGACGTTGACAATTTGCCTTTAGCAAAGCATTCACCTGCCTATCATTCAACCTATTTGAATATCTTTGCCCTGGTCAAGGTTCTGAAAAGCGGTTGCGGTCGCCGTAACGGTGGCAGTGGCGCGGTTGCGGTTGCGGGGTGTAAAGGCCGTAGTGTAACGGTTGCGGTAACCGGAACAGTGAATTTTTTTATTTTTCGCACAATTTGAAAAAAACTTATCGATACGCATATTTTTTTTCCATGATCATATTTATTGGGTTAAAAATAAATATTGATCAATTTTTGTAAATTTTTAAGTATGATCCAATATATTTGATATTTTTAAATCACTATAAACTGAGTTTTTTATATTTTATTTTAATAATTAATGACTTTATATTATACAAAAAATCAGTCACTAACTATTATATATAAGATAAACAATAACAAAAGTAAGGGAATAAATAAGTGCCTAAATATATATATATATATATAAATATACATATTTTCAACAAGCCAAATAAATAATGACTACAATTATTATTATTATTATTTTCAAACAATATATAGATGGACACATACAAACAAAATGGTTGAGTGATAGCAGCTGAATAGAATAACATAGGTCTTACAGCTTCAACAAATCAATAACATATTCTTTATCTTCCCTCTTCTCTCTCTCTATCTCTTGCTCTTCCATTTTCTCTCTTATCTTTCCTCTTCTCTCTATCTCTCTTCCCCCATTTTCAGTTTTTTTTTTGTGTGTTTTTTTGAAAGAAACAGTTTGGAACCGTTACGTAATGGTGCGTAACAGGCCGTTACGGCTGTTACGGCGCTGTTACAACCGCCATGGCAGCCGCTACGGCCGACACACCTGTGAATCTCAATCACACTGCAAAAGCGGCCGTAACGGGTGGCGGTAACCGCCAAAACCGTTACGTAACGGCGTTACGTAACGGTTGCGGCCGCTTTTTAAAACCTTGGCCCTGGTACAATCTTACAAAGCTGTAGAAAGAGAGAGCCAATGCAAATTGATGATACTGCTAGAAGAAGCAACAATGACTGAAATGAAACAAAACTTAGATTGCCATAAACAAGAAAACCTCCATCGGTAGGTAGATAGGCCTAGAGTCATTGCCAGCTTGAAGCGCAGGCAGGGACGTTAATTTAGGGGTGATGTCATATTTCTCGCGAAAGTATTGCACAACTGACGTTTGTGTACCCGTATCACCAGAAGTAAACCTATTTGAAAAGGAAGTGCACATCAACAAAAGAAAAAATGTAAACATCAACAACAAAAAATAGTGCAAAATTCATTTCACCTCCTTGTGGTTTGAGGCCGAGCACTTTGGCCCCCTATGGTTCAAATATGGCCAGAGCTCTCATGTGATTTTGGACCAAAGTGCAACTATTAACTTCGTTAACTATAGATGTGAAATGACTATAATACCCTTAAGCCTTAAGCTTTTTTTGTTATTTTATTTCTCTCTCCTCTCTCATACACATAATTTATAATTCCTAACATTAATTCAATTAAATCACAATTAATCATAAATCCTTAATTATTTATTATAATTCCTAACTTTTTAATATAATTTTAATTTATTTATGTTTAGATCACAATTACTCCTAAATCCTTAATGATTTATTGCAATTCCTAACATCTTAATCTAATTTTAATTATATTTTAAATCAATCCTTGATTATTATTTATTTTATATTTTAATTTAATTATATTTTAGATCAATCCTTTATTATATTTTTAAATTTATTTTACTTTAATTAACATCTTAATTAAATTTTAGGTTTGGAGAAGATGCAGGTAAAATTGCCTTTTTGTTGTGTTAATTTCACTTAATTTTTTTAGAAAACCAAATCCACTCTCAAAAATGAAGTGTGATTGCGAGAACTTTAGCTTGGATGGAAAAACTAATGGTGGAACTTTAGTCCAAAACCACATGGGACTTAAATGGCCTCAAAAATCATGATGGGGTCAAATAAATTTTGCCCCAAAAAATAAGTAATAAAATCAGAAAAAAGACAAACATCAAATAAATGATAAAAATGCCACCAGTTTAAAAAAGATAGCCAATCTAAAGTGAACTGATGAAATTACAATATCATTTCCCCTTCTGGTTTGTTATCCATCCAATACATAAATTAGCAAGAAAACAAAAACTCAAACAATTCACTTAACTATCAAACGAAGTCCTAGACCTAGGCAAACATACTGCCTAAAATAATAGGCATTAGAAAAAAAGCAAAACAAAAGAAGACATAACCAACCCCCCCAAAACAAAAACCAAAAGAAAAAAAAAAAATTCAATTTAATAAATAGTTCGATTGCTTTTAACCCTATAAAGAGAAACATTAGGTGATTGAAACTTTATGAGAATCCCAAAAACAATCCGTTATCCATTCCTTCCATCTTAAATTCTCCTCAGGTACTTAAAAAAACCACCTAAAATTAAATTTTAACAAAATTCAACTTTTATTCAACAAAAGTTTTGGCAAATATTCATAGCTCAGAAATTTTGGCAAGATACAGGGTATCGCTGGTACAATGATCTAAGCTTGCAGTTTAAAAATTGCATCATTTAATATTTTTTGTGATGCTTCTAAAACTCCTGTAAAACTGTTCCCACTGAAGAAGAAACTTAATCATTAAAGGTTGTTATGATTTAGAATTCAGGATTCCCATTAATGAGCAAGGCAAGAATACTTCCCCGTTCCCAACTACTAAGTTATGACTTTCAGATGTATCACAACACACGAACATCCACCAATTTTGTGCTTCATCTCATTTATGTTGTCCTTCTACCATTTTCTAACTTTATGTGCATTTAGTGAAGCTTTTCCCCCTGCTGCTACATGGTGAAGATAAACCACACACCAAACTCACTTGCGTAAAGAAAGACACAAAGATAAGTAGCTTATGTTAATTGACTTGTTGGTTGCACCGATACACCTGATATTTTGTGCTGTTTAACATCCTTGCTATGAATGAGTTCTACCTTAACCATTTTTAGAGCTTTCTTAACCTGGAATCACCAAAAAAAAAGGGTCATAATGGGTCAACTGTTGGGTAATGTGGCCAAGGAATATAATATGCAACGACAAAAGCGGATATAAATACATATTGACCAAAGTTATATAGGAGAAAATTATTGACGAGTTGGGTAGTGGAAAACAAACTCCATAAAAATTTCACTAGACCTTTATATTTTATCGTGACAACATAACATGCAAAAACCTCATTCTTGGCAAAATTTACTAGTGGCATTTTCCTTCACAGAAAATATAAATGAGCAATTAATTGTATGCTGCACTAGAAAGTTAGTGTAATACCTTAATGCGATCTTGATCAGAAAGAGGCCTTCTTAAATCTCTAACATTGCAATATCTCGCAACAAAGTCAGAAACTAGAATGGGTTCATAAAATGCTCTTGCTGAGATATCTGCAAGGCAAGGAAGCAACATAATCTCAATGGTGCATGTCAATAGCAAAACTACTGCTCTAAATCTAGAACAGGAAAAAAATTGAAAAGAAATGAAGGCCAACAAGTAAAGAAATTCATACCAATATTAAGGGAAAGACCCATTTGTGTTGGGCGAAGGCTTTGATAGTAACCTTTCCAATATTCTAAACCATCCCCAAGATCACCTGTATCACCGAATTTGGGAGGGAAGAATGACCTTCCCACAACAGCATAACTGCAATCAAGAGTTTACACCGTTTAGCGGAGCCACCATACTCCTTAACCTACATAAATTGATATGTAGAGGAAAATACATAAAAACAAATTACTAAATATATTTCACATCTCCCCAGGTAACCCTTGCTTCCTATTTTTGCTCATATACATGCTGCCTGCCGCTTTTTGAATGAGCTGTGAAGGCATAGGTAACAAAATAGGTAAGGGTAGACCTAAGCATGAAGATGTGCAGCTTGGTAGAGCATTTGCCAAATTGTTTTTAGGTCAAATGAGACTCACTTATTTGAAGGAGTTGATCTAAGAACTATGAGAGGGTAATTTATACTTATAAATTGGAGCGAGTTGGGTAATGGGCCGTTATGGGTCACGTTGCAAAGGACTGAGTAAAAAGGCCATGAAGTTACTCCGGCCCAGGAGAGGTGTAAAGTTACTCTGGCCCAAGAGAGGTATAAAGTTATTCCGGTCCGAAAGAATCTTGAGGTTACTCTGGTCTAAAGGAAGCTTTGAACATAGCCTGGTTGCCGTACTCAAAGTTAGCCCGGTCTTGGCTTATCGAGGTTATCTCAGCCAGAACCTTACTGTTTGATAGCTCGGTCTGATCACACCATGGTTGGCACTAGGAGAAACTTGGGTAAGAGCAATAAATGGAAGAGTCGAACTAAAGTTAGCTCGGTCTAGTCTGCGGCTTAGCATAAGCCATGCTTACCTCGGTCATAGTGGAGTCCGACCATGGTAAAACTATCTCACTTGGTTTAAGCAGTGAGGAGGGTGTTGAAGGATAAGCATTATCTTTCAAGAGTATGAATCCTAGTTAGGAGGACTCTACATGGAGGAGTAAGAGTCCTACTTGGACTGTGCCACACGGAACCTATAAAAGCTCACAAACATCACCTAGGGAGAGATAACACACAACTTTGATACACAAAGCTTTTGTCTTTGTCCATTTTTCTGACTTAGGCATCGGAGGGGTTTCCAGCACACACCCGTCGGCTAGCTCACGTTTGTGTTTTCAGGGAGTAAAGCGACAACGTTTGGAGGAGCGCAGACTTGATCAACAGGATTATACGAGAAGGTTTATTTCTTTCCCGTACAATTGGCGCCGTCTGTGGGAAACGTAGACAAGAACAAAACCTCTTGATCAAGCTTTTCCTCTTTAGAAGCAATGGCGCACAACGAAGATTTGTCGCAGTCCGCCATCGACGAACAAACACCAGAGGGGGGTGTAAGGCGCGAAGGCCTACCTTCTATCCCTCCCATGGCAGACTTGGAGCCACAACGACAAAATCCCAAGAGGGATACAAGGGGGAGGCGACGGACTAACAGCCCCCGTCACTCTCGTTCACGAAGTCCTGACAGACAAAGGCGGAGGATTGACCCTTAAGTTCTGGAGGACCGCGTAAAGGAGCAAGATGAATTAATAAGGAAGATAGCGGCGGACATGGACGCCATAAAGCGCCAGATGAAGGGAAAAGGAGTTGCGACAAGAGAGGGGCGCAAAAACAAGACGCCTCATCGCCGCTCAGAAGACCGTGGAAGGCATTCCACACCATCGCGAGCAGAGAGTAGGAGCCTCAGGACAGGCGATACTCAATTCAGAACCTCCAGAACTCGTTTCTCCAAGTTTGAGAGAACGAGATCATTGAGGTCTTACACAGAGGGAAGTATCTATCGACCCTCGCGCTAGCACCAGACATCATCCAGGCAGACGGAGTTGCCAAGATCATCCGATTTACGGATCATGCTGGAAGAAAAGGCACGATGGAAGGAGGATACTAGGGCACGCAACCCTCGCAGGGTATCTACCCTTCAGCGGTTGGCTCCTCGGACGCATGGAAGCGTCGAGGTCGGAATGTCGTTACCACGCCCTGCCTACGAACCAACGGACAAAGCATTAGAAAGGCTGCAGACATCGCTGTTCATTCCGGCAATTGAAAACGCGCCCCTTCCTTCAGGTTTCCTTCAACCCAAATTCACCACGTACGAGGGGAAGACGGACCCTTACATACACCTAAGCCACTTCCGCCAGGTTATGGCGGTATATCGGCGAAACGAGGCTTTGATGTGCATCCTCTTCCCATCAAGCCTTGGAGACCTAGGCTTGACTTGGTTCGAAAAACTTCCAGAAGGCAGCATAGCCTCCTGGACACAATTGGCAGAGGCATTCGTCACGAGGTTCAGAACGAACACCAGAACCCCGGTGGAGATTGACCAGTTACTCTCCATCGACATGGGTGAAAAGGAGACACTAAGATCATACAATAGTCGCTACTGGGAGACATTCAACCAGATTGGGGACTGCCATACCAATCTCGCCATTGCACAATACAAAAGAGGCCTTCCAGTTGGAAACAGACTAAGGGACTCAATCACCATGACACCGCCCCTCACCATGGAGGCCTTGATGGAAAAAGTGCATCAGCACATTAGGGTGGAAGAGGATGGCGCCCGTGCCAAATCAAAATCTGGCACGACCGCAGTACCAGATAAAAAGACCACAGCAAAGATCAACCCGGTAGAACGTCCGAACAAAAATGGACGAGGTAGGCGAGACAACGGAGAGGACCAGGATAAAAGATGGTTAAGAATCCGCACAGCCATAACCACGGTATTCAAGAAATCGATCTACCAGATTCTAAGCGAAATACGCGATGAACCTTTCGTCAAATGGCCAGCAAAGCTAGGAGAAGCACAGAAAGACTACGACGAAAGGTCGCGATGCACGTTCCACAAAGAAAAGGGGCACTGCAGTGAAAATTGCATGCCATTGAGACAGCATCTGGAGGAGTTGGTGGCAGCCGATCACCTGGATAAATACATTGAAGGAGGGACGCAACCAGCCCCCCAGGATTACAATAACCCCAATGAAATGCCAATTGACGCCCCACCTCAAGGTGTGATCAATGTGATATATGGAGTATTCGAACCTGAGCGTGTATGCGAGCTCAGAGGGTCGATTAAGAAGGCTGAGCACTTAAGGGAGGTACTAAGTGCCCAACCTACCATCAAAAATGGGAGAACGGAGGCCACAAACGTCATGTCTTTTTTAGACAAGGACTTGGAAAGAATATATTGCCCTCACAACGATGCACTGGTCGTCACCCTCCGCATCAAGGATTATGACATCAAACGAATTCTGATAGACCAAGGCAGCTCGTGTGAGATAATGTACTACGACACCTTCAAACAACTGAAATTAGAGGACAAAGACCTAGCACCGGCTGTATCCCCCCTGATCGGATTCAACTCAATGCCAGAATGGCCAGTCGGCAAAATTATCCTGCCAGTCAGGGCAGGAAGCGTGACAAAACAAGTGAAATTTTGGGTATTGAAAGTCCCTTCCACTTACAACATAATCTTAGGAAGAACGTGGCTCCATGCCATGAAATTAGTAGCATCATCCTACCATCAAGTAATGCGGTTCCCCAACGGAACTGAAGTAATTGAAGAGGTCTTTGGAGACCAGATTATGTCCAAGCAATGCTTTGTCACGGCTAATGGCAGCTGCGCTACCAAGGGATATGTTCATGCGGTGGAAGAACCTGAGAGTAATGAACTGTTCACAGATGTCGGCAGAGCAGCTGATAAAAAAGCGGTGAAAGATTTGGTAGAGGTAAGAATAGATGAAAAGAACCCGGATAAGTTCTTTTTGCTCGGTTCGTCGTTGTCCAGTACTGAGAGATTGGAGGTCTTGGAATTCTTGACCTCTAACATCGAAGTGTTCGCCTGGACACCCTACGACATGCCAGGCATTGATCCAAACTTCATCTGTCATCAACTCAATGTCCATCCATCTGTCAGACCAATCATTCAGCGCACTCGCAGATCGGCACTCCACCATGCCAAGATAGTGGCGGAAGAGGTGGGAAATCTGTTAGAGGCAGGAGCTATCAGAGAGGTGCACTACCCCAGATGGATTTCTAGCACAGTCGTGGTACCAAAGAAGAATGGCAAATGGTGTGTCTGCGTCGACTATAAGACAGTCAACAAAACATGCCCAAAGGACAGCTTCCCCCTACCACAGATAGATCAATTGGTAGACCTAACGGCGGGGCACAACTGACTTAGCTTTCTGGATGCATACAGAGGCTACCATCAGATTGCCATGTACGAACCAAACCAGGAGGTCACGTCCTTTACCACTCCAAGAGGACTGTATTGCTATAAAGTCATGCCCTTTGGCCTAAAGAACGCAGGGGCAACATTCCAGAGAATGGTCACCAAGATGTTTGAGCCGTTGCTAGGCAGAACAATGGGGGCTTACATCGATGACATGGTGGTCAAGAGCAAGGATAAGAATGACCATCTAAGGGACCTAGGTGAGATGTTCCAGATTCTGAAGAAGCACAAGTTGCGCCTTAATGCATCCAAGTGCGCATTCGGTGTAGGATCTGGCAAATTCCTAGGCTTCCTAGTGACCAACCGGGGTATTGAGGCAGACCCCTCCCAGATCAAAGCTATTCAGAATCTAGAGAGGCCTAACTCAGTAAAATAAGTGCAGCATCTCACCGGCATGGCAACTGCACTCAACCGATTCATTAGCCGGTCGTCAGACACACTACAACCATTCTTTCAAGCATTAAAAGCCAAGTTCGAATAGGACGAAGAATGCGACTGCGCTCTGAAAAGCTTGAAAGAATACATGTCCTCTCCACCATTGCTAGTAACCCCAATACCTGGAGAAGAACTCTTCCTGTACCTGGCAATCTCTCAGCACGCGATTAGCGCAGTATTGGTCCGCGCGGAAGGAATCCAACATCTGCCCATCTATTATGTCAGCAAGACATTGCTGGGTGCCGAAACAAGGTATTTGCCACTAGAAAAACTGGCATTGGCCTTGATGATGGCCTCAAGAAAGTTATCACACTACTTTCACGCCCACACCATAGTCGTCCTCACAGCTTTCCTATTAAAAGCTTTGTTTGAGAGGGCAAACTTTTCTGGGTGAATCTTGAAGTGGGCAGTAGAATTGGGATAATTCGACATCAAGTTCCAACCCAA